ATATATACATACACATACAGTATATATATATATATATATATATATATATATATATACACATATATACACTGCATAAAATATAATACATGTATGTTTGACAACAACTACAGTCCATTGTTGGTACACAAGTGTGTTTTTCACCTCTTCCATGAGTCTTTGTTTGAGTTCTCTCTCCGTCTCGAGTTTCTGCTGAAGGCTCCTAGCGTTCATCTCCAGCATGGCATGTTTCTTCTCCAGGTCATTGAGCTGAAAACAGCACCACAACACAATAAACAGCACATTTAAACAGCACAGCCTCTCCTGTCCGAGGGAACAGAAGGTTTTGTTAATGCGCAGCGACGTGTTCATGTGCACCGCAGTGTTTAATTAATCTCCATCAGCTGTAGCGCATAATCGCAGCTTGTTAAATTCAATATTGGCAGGAATATTAATATCGCAGATGGAGGGCCGGAGCGAACCAGGACAAACTGTTGTGAGTGTGTTTGTGTAACTCACAGTATCAGATAGACTTTCTGCTTTCAGTCTCTGCTCTTTCAGGGCCTGCTGCAAAGCCACGATCTCAGCATTGTGTTCGCGAACCGCCAGCTCAACCGCCTGCCGAGACTCTGTACTGCGCTGATCCGCTCGCAACCTGGAGGAACAGGGTCGAGTCAAGCCACAATACTACAGAAAAATAATATTTACATGCACTGGCATTCAAAAGTTTGGAGGCAGAAAGATTTTTAATGGTTTTAATAGATTTAATTGATCAAAAATACAGTAAAAATTGTGAAATGGTTAATAACAGTTTTCTATGTGAATATACAGTCAAACCAAAATTTATTCAGACACCTTCAACATTTCTCACATTATCACAGTTTATTCGCTATAGTTTAGAAAATGATAATAAAATATGACAAGAACTGTGTCAGAACAAATTCATCTTGATAATGTCAGATAACTTTGATAGAAAGGTATGTAATGAATTCTGTTGTCAGCTGTTAAATTTAAGAACATAATTAGATAAAACCAATTTAGCTCAATTACCAAGCAGTGCTTCATTCTGTTCAGTCTGTGTGTAAAAAGATCACATTAGCAATTAAAGAAAAAACACTTCAGCAAAACATGCTCAGCTCAAAGTGTCTGAATCATTTTGGTCCCAAATTTTCAAACTTCAGGCTTTTACAACTGTTTTAAACTTTCAGGCTAGGCTTTCTCAAGCCAACCTAAAGTTTGTCTTGACAAACTTTTTTTTTATCTAGTCTGATTTGCTGCTCAAGAAACATTTCTGATTATTATCAATGTTGAAGACAGTCAATATTTTTGTGGAAACCGTGATACATTTTATTTTTCAGGATTCACAGATGAATAAAACGTTTAAAAGAACAGCGTTTATTTGAAATGGAAATCTTTTGGAACATTATAAATGTCTTTATTGTCACTTTTGATCAATGTAATGCATCTGTGATGGCTATCAGCTAACCTGAAGATGCTGACAAACTCTATTAAATTAAAGGACACACTTGAAGTAAATAATCGAAGGTAATGTTTGTGACTTGTGCTTACAGCACCTGTTCTGCTTCTCGTTGTCCAGCAGTCTCTGCATGTCTCTGGTTCTGCGCTCCGCCTGGCTCTTCTCGTCCTCCAGAGCGGATCTCCAGTTCTCCCACTGTCTCTCCTTCTCCAGCAGCTCATCGTTCAGACTCTCCAGCTCCACCACCTGCTCCTCCAGCATGCTGCATGTGGTCTTCAGAGTCTCGATGTTCTGCAAACACAAAAACACAGTCCTATAATACGCCTCAGTATAGTACAAACATCCAGCTTCAGCTGGAGCTTCATGTGTCTTTCTGCTGTCAAGTCTTGACTGATTTTGATCAAGTAAAGGTCAGAATAACTGCAGTAATATCTCCAGATGAACACTTACCGGACTGAAGCAGCTCAGCTTTACTTGATTCTTCATCAATCTAGTCTGTCCATTTCCTGAAAATAAATCTGATCTATGATGTAATGATGAATAAAACCATTTTTTGATTACCCGAAGTTTATTGGTGTTGTTCTCTTATTCAAATTATAAAGTATATAACTTAACAAATTATTAATTAATTAGGTGAAGCTGTGCGCTTGAATTTGTCATCGCATCAACCTATGCAGTGTGGTGAATTATTATTGCTCATTATTGTCTATTTTAGTAATTTAATTAACATAGGCCATCTTAATACATTGATTAATGACATTGTATAATAATATTACACCACCCAAATATGTATTTACTTCCTTCTGATTCTCGTTGTCAGTGCAGGCCTGTTTGGCTTATATTGACCATTATGAAAAGTGATTAGTGTACCCTGCATAAAAAAAACCTTGAATGTAAAACAACAGGACAAAAATACAGTTGATGACTAGACAATCATTTCATGACTCTAGACACTTCTTTGTGAAGACAGTGGCATAATACAGTGAAAACATTCTTCAGTGATATAAAAACAGTTGTCGTGCGTAGGGTTGGGTATCGTTAGAAATTTAATTGATTTAAATGAACTATTATTATTTTTTCACTATTTTACCTTCATTGAATATAGTGTTGCTGTAAGGTAGTAAGTAATGTTGAGTAATGCTAGTCCATCAATCACATGTGCTCCAAAGTTGATGTTTTTTACACTATCAATAACATTTTGCTTTTCAAGCAGGAATAAGCTGGTTGGCCCTTGAGGGCTAAGACACTTGTTAATTTCCCTAAATTAATAAAATATTAACTGTTATACTTATAACCATGTATACACACACTCCATAAAGCCCCTATTTTACAAATAATAATGCAGTCAGGAGATAGTGTCATGCAATGAGTGGTTTCCGCATTTTTAAACATTTAAAATGCATGAAAATAAATATTTTCCATCACTTTGTTTATCACTCTTGAAATGACCTGTACACTAAATAATCTAACCCTCATACTTGCATAACACAGGGTTCCCACACCTTGGTTAACTTAAAATTCAAGGACCTTTCAAGGACTTTCCAGGTCCAATACCCTCAAATTCAAGGACTTAATGTGGGGACACATTTCAAGTGAGAGTAAGGTTACACCGTGTTACCTTGTAAGATACATTGTTACAGTTTTCATGTGTCAAACACAACTATGCAACTATCCTAACACTTAATGTAATGTAAAATGCACGTAACTAATGCAAATCAAGGAAGCTAGTATGCACAGGCCACGAAGTGTTGGCGAAATAACATTAGCGGACCAGAGGGAATAATATGGAATTTTTTCCAGAAAACTTCTTGCACAAAATAAATTCAAGCACTTTTAAGGACCTGTATCTATGTACGTTTATTTTCAAAAACTTTCCAGGGCCTTGAAATTTTTTTTTCAGATTCACAACCTTTCAAGAATTTCAAGGACCCGTGGGAACCCTGATAACAATAACAGTCTATTTATTTAGTGGTCCAAGTTGAAGTCAGTGTGTATATTAATGACAATATAGGACAAATATAATGTAATTTAGTGGCAGCAGGAGCTGTGCGCTGCCGATACATGCACAGTCAGACAAAACAACGAGCACAGTTATCAAAGATGTGAGTGCGCGTACAGTCGTGGAAAACAGTGTGTTCGGCAGTTAAAGACGCGGCGCGTCTGTAGAGTGCGTGTCATGGGAAACGATGTGCTCAGTAATTAAAGAGGCAGGGCAGCATTTCTGTTACTTGGTTTGTGACATCCTTTACGGGAAACGCCAGCGCAAGGCTGCTCACAGCGCTTGGTCACGCGTAGACTTGTGCCGGTATTCGGTAATGCGATATATCACGGTAATGAACGTCGCACCAGAACCGTTTTTTGGAACCGAAACTTAGAAATTGCTCACGGTTCTGGTTCTTTTCAAAAAACAGAACCGGTTTTAATAAGAACCGGTTCTCGGTTCCCAACCCTACATGTGCGTGGGTAAAATGTACCCGCAGGTGGTTTTAGGTATACAGCGACTCCCGGCGGTTCTAGTGTTAAAGTAGTTTTGGCATTAATCTGTGTGTGCAGATGATGAGCAGACGTGTTTGCGCACCTGTTTCTGGTTGTTGAGGTGCATCTCTCGGTCGGCCACCTCTCTGCGCAGATGGTCCACGTCTTGACTGAGCTGCAGTCGCTCCTCGCTCTCCACCGTCAGCTCGTCCAGCTGTTTGGACAGGTAGAAGTTCTGCCGGTTCAACTCGGCGTTCTCCTGGGTCAGCTGGGTCAGCTGCTCCTCCAGGTCCGTGATCACCTGTGACGACACTCACGTCATTCAGCAGCAGCAGCATCCTAATCAATACGCATGAATGCTGATCATACATCAAACGCATAAGAGTCATTCCACCGAAATCACTCTCTATTCTGACAATGCGGGAATATTCCAGATTCACAAACACTGCAGCTACAGGAACTGAGTGAAATAGATGGAAATATCAGAGCTCACAAGTAGGGATGTAACAATTCGAGATTTTGATTTCACGATTCGATTCACGATTTTAACAAAATGAGATTTAAGACAAATTATAAATTAAATGTGTCCTTTTATTATTGCTTGGACAAAATACTGTACGTTTCTTTGTAAAATTTAAATAGAACACTATAATAATATACTAATATAGCACTTGTAAATTATTGCTCTTTTGTTGGTTTTGATTGCTTCTATTGTCCTCATTTGCTAGTCGCTTTGGATAAAAGCTTTTGCTAAATAACAACATTTAAATATAATGTAAATGTAAATAACAAAACTAAATTGAAATTTTTAAACAAGCCCCAAATCGAATAAATAAGTAACACAAATAAAATAAATCTCTTCATATAAACAAACTAAGAAAGCATTTAAAATTAGAGGCAACCACTGCATTTTAATCATGATCCAAACAAAGATGCTGCATACATGCAACTTGAGCAGTTTTTAATCTAAATTAGATTGTATAATTTTGAAATTTGAAGCAAAAACAGAATGGTTTGACTTCAGTTTTGTCGTGAAACTGCATAACAGAGGCAAGAGGAAAAGAAAAAATACCATCAAAAGACATAAGTAGTAAGTTCCCCTCAGACATGCATTCATATAAACTACCCCTTATTGAATCGTGATTTGTTTAGCATCTCAACCAATTTGAATCGTCACATATTTAAATCGATTTTCAACCGGCTCGCGGTTAATCGTTACATCCCTACTCACAAGGCAGGAAAACAACACTAGTAGCTTTGCTGAGCAATAGTTTAAAAAGATTTCAACTTAAATAGTCATAGAGGGTGTGTAGAATAGAGATTGAGATTTATAAACCTAATGTAATAAAATATAAGACCGATAATCACAATTCAATACACAAATACAGCGCTATTTTAGCCTTATAAGACTTTATTACTTAAGAAAATGTAATTTAAAAGTCACTATGTGTGTAGAAATTTTAAGTTTATAGTTATATACATAGTCAAAACAAAAATTATTTAGACACCAGATATAATTTTTTATATTTTTTTTACTAGTGAGTGCAGGACACTATAGTTCATTAAATTAGATATTAAAGTGACAGCAACTTTCCCCAGTCTATATTGATTCTGTTGTGTGTCACGGCCAACAGAAGAAGATAGCCACTGTTTAGATCTCTGCTTTCTTCGGCTGTTCTAATCAATAATTTCTCTCCGAGCTCTTTATCCGATCCCTAAGGATCCTCAAGCTAAATGTAGAGGCTATCGAGCACAACACAGCACTGAAACCTTACAGTTTCAATCTGTTGTCATCCTGTATGGAGCTTTAGATGCCATTTCATTTGAAGTGAATCAAAAGAAGGTTGAGAGAAACAGTTAAGTAAGTAAATGTCAGAAAAACGACCAAGAGAACCATCATATTCAACCCTCCTGAGCAGTGCAGGGGATTGTGGGAAATCTTAGCGCAGATAAACTCACCGAGCAGCTGTCTCGGAGCGCGTCAAACTTGCGCTGAAGCTCATCTCTGTGGGCCTGCAGGAGAAGACAAACACATGATGCTCAGATGATGCTGTGTGTGTATCATACAGGTATATCTGCTCATTATTTTACACTTTTAGCACTGAACTCAAGCTCATTGTACACCTGTAGAATTAAACAGGCTGTTTTTCGTTCTCATTTGTAAATAATGCAAATGACAGCAGTGTGTAGTATGCAGTATGCAAGGGTTTCTCAAACTGGGGATAGTGCAGTTCATTGAGATCTTTAATAATTAAACCACAAAAATAACATTTAAATAAATATATATATTTTTTTTTTTTTTTATAAAAACCAAATAAAACATAAGATATAATAAATATAATTAATTTAGTGTTTACTTTTATGTAATACATATTTATATAATAAACATTTTATTTTTTACCTGGCTGCATGTTATGTACCTAGTATTATTTTAGCATCACTGATGTCCTGTTAAAATATTATAATATTTTTTTTTTCTTTTTCATTTGAGTTAAAGCTTTAGTAATTTTGTGAAAGTGATTGTCGTCATTTTTATTTGTTTTTGGTTTTTAATATATAGAAATATTAATCAATCTGTATTTCCGTTTTAGTTATTTTAGCACTGAAAGTTACACTAAAAAAAATTAGAAATGCTGCCTTGGCAACTATTTTTTATTTTCTTGCAGTTAACGTTTATTTTATTTTAAGCAACTTATTATGGTTTTAGTTTTTGTGAACCATAATAAAGTAATCCAAACAATTATTTTTGAAATGATTCGCTGGAGCGTGTTTATTTTATATAAATGTACATAAATAATTATAAATTAAATATTTTATTTGTTTACCTGCATGTCATGTGACCCAGTGTTACTATTATTCTGAATTAGTTTATTTTCCATTTTAATTTTAATTTAAAATTTGTAGTAATTTGTGAGCCTGGAGCACAAAAGCAGTCTTAAGTCGCTGGGGTATATTTGTAGCAATAGCCAACAATACATTGTATGGGTCAAAATTATTGATTTATCTTTTACGCCAAAAATCATTAGGATATTAAGTAAAGATCATGTTCCATGAAGATATTTTGTAAATTTCCTACCGTAAATATATTAAAACTTAATTTTTGATTAGTAATATGCATTGCTAAGAACTTCATTTGGACAACTTTAAAGATGATTTTCTCAATATTTAGATTTTTTTGCACCCTCAGATTCCAGATTTTCAAATAGTTGTATCTCAGCCAAATATTGTCCTATCCTAACAAACCATACATCAATGGAAAGATTATTTATTCAGCTTTCAGATGATGTATGCATCTCAATTTTGAGAAATTGACCCTTATGACTGGTTTTGTGCTCCAGAGTCACATTTTAGAACCTTTTAATCTAGTTTTTCTAGTTAATTTAGTTAAACTATATGAAAATATATATATTGTTATGTTTTAGTTAATATTTATTTAAATGGTGCAAAATTAACCAACAGAGAACCGGGAACGTGTGAATGTGTTAAGTTACTGAAATAATATTTGACTTCAGTTATTTTATCTCAAAGGGCTTCGGCTGATTTAAGGGTTTGTATCCAGTGCTCTGCATGCGTCTCACTCTCAGTGCAGTGATCTCCTCCTCAGCTTCGGCTGTCGTCTCCTCCAGCTCGGTCTTGGCCTGCTGTAGCTGACTCTCGAGCGCGTGTCGCGCTGCCTGCAGGCTGCTGATCTGAGACTCTCTCTCCTGCAGTGAGAGCGTGAGCTCCATCACCTGACGCTTGATCTCCAGCTTCTGCTCCTCGTGCTCCAGACCCATCTGAAACACACACAGACTGTCAAGCATCATGTGTAATAACGGCACTACTACTGTGACACTGTCATGTCTCTCATATCACAATGAGCATTCGTTCACAGCTAATTCCTCACAGTCAGACTTTCAAACTAGCCCTGACCAATGCAAACTAGTCTGGTAACCACCAACAGGTTTGGAAGTCTTCTAGGATATCTTCTAACATTCACATTGAACCAGTAATTCTCACATTCAACACTAGTGATGCACCTAAATTTCACCGAACAAAAATATTTTATCCTTTTTTAATTAAATCTGACGAACACATTTTTTTTTTAGTCTGTGCTGTTTTCTGTTGATGCACAAACAAAACTTCACTAAACATTATTTGTAGAGTGCCTGCCATGCAATAATCGCAATAAGCTTTGATATTGTAGATATGAACCAAAGTCTCAGCACAAAAAAATATTTACACCTAAATTTAACATTTATGTATTTGAATTACATGTAAAATTTCTATGCATTTGGATTAACCAACTAAACTTAATGCAACGCATATTTGTCAGTCATACTGTACATAAATGAAACAGGTCAGATTTCTGTAACAGTACAACGTGTTTTAAATACACAATAACTTGCTTTATATATTTATCATTAACAAATCCAATTTGTTTCAATAATTATATTATATATTATAATTATATTACAATTTATTATAAATGTCTCATACATTTTAATTTAATATTGGCAGCCATATTTTAACCATGTTCATAATTTTAAACCAAGCAATCTGAATAAACGCATTTTGAAAATATGATTATTTAAATGAAATCCAACAGATGCAGTTAGTTAATAATAAAGCATGTTTTTTTGAGCGCAGAAATTGGACCTGCTTCATTTATATTTGACTGACAAATGGACATCACATAAAGTTTATTACTTTGTTAAAAATGTGTTATTCAAATGGATGGAAATTTTATATGCAATTCAAACACATAAATCTAAATATTAAAAAATATGTGTTTTGAGTGCGCTTTTATTTAATGTGGCATGACTGATCACTGGAGCCATTCATGTATGCATGAAAAAATCTGTTTAATACCACCATCATTTAAATGTTTAAATTTTAACAATGAATTAGAGTAAACAATTCTATAACTAAAAAGTGCATGTAAAAACATCACTATATCGTGTAGTCGTATATTCTGTCCGATGCTCCTTGGCAGCTAGGGTTGGGTATCGTTTGGGTTTTTTTCGATCCCGGTGCCAAATCGATACTTTTAAAATGGTTCCGGTGCCTAAACGGTGCCTGAACTGATACTTATTAAAAAATATATATATATAAAAATAAAAATTCCCCAAAAAATGATGGATTTGCCATTAACACTATAAACACATGATGTCTGTTTCATTCATACTGGACGCCAGAGGGCGCCCTCGCACAGAAAATCCACATATCCAGTCACAAAAGTAGAGAACTCATGACCCTCCAGGAAATCCCTTATATGGACAAAGGCATCCCTATTATAGCTGTAACTGAGTAAATAGAACATATAAACGTTTTGAATGATAAAACAAAGACAATAAACACTCGACTGCGCCAATATAGCTTATCTGTGTTATTCAAGCCATCTCTGGTATTTTCATAATAATTAAGTATATTTATAATCCATTGCTAATCGATGTATATTTTTTTGAAGTAGCCTATGGAACATATTTTCTGCCTCATTCTGTGACAAGAATCAACATTAGATCACAAAAGGAAGCATTTGACTGGTGTTGTGGAGTAAAAATGTTATAATGTTCCCTTTTGTTGGACAACAGGTTTAGAAATGTGAATACAAGGGAGGTTTAACTTTAGGCGTTTTAATTTAAGCATGTTTAGCTTAGTTAACGGAAGGCTATCTGCTGCCATCAGAGCAAGTGTAATTACTGCATTCACGCGCTACTCGGATGCTCTCATTTCCCGTTTTTCACATGCGGTGCCGGTGATGATGCTTCTTACGTCCATTTCGGAGAAATATTTCAATCGATCGCTCAGGCATGGCACCGAAATGAGGCACCGGAATCTGCGTTCTGATTCGGTTCTTGTACATACTTGGTTACATGGGTACCGGTGCCAAATTGGTACCGTGTTTCGGTACCCAACCCTACTGGCAGCGAGTGGATCTGCTCTCACCTCTCTGAGTCTGGTCTCTAGCTCCAGAACGCGGCTCTTTCTGCTCTGCTCCTGCTGGCTCATCTTCTCCAGATGTTCCTCCAGTTTGGCATTCTGAGCTTCCAGTTTTCCCGCCTGCGACTCCAGGTAAAACTTCTGCTGCCGCAGCTCCGAGATCATCTCCTCCTGAGCTTTCCTGAGAAAAACACTGAGGTCTGAATCTCTGCGCACAGATGCGATTCATTATTTCTCAGATTTTCCAGTTTCTGATGCCTTGTTTTCCAGTAAAAGAAGTTAATTAGATTTCTCCTTCAATAAACTCGTTTCAGAAGCATCCTGAGAATCACTGCTGCATCTGCTCTCCTCAAAACCGCTAAATTGTTTTTGTTTGGCTAAACTGCAATCATTCCTATTTCTCAGTCCCCTATTAAATCTAAAACACTTGATTTAGAAGTTGAACGATGCGGCAGAGATGCTCAGATTGAGCATTTATTACAAGCTAAATGCTTCCCCAGATTGTCGTTTGCAGATCTACAATAACAAGTATTTAAATATCTTCAGAAAAAAACCCTATTTATTCTAATATGACCTAAAACTACACTCTGAACTGTAATTTAGCATAACAGTCCCATTAATTTGCTCCATAGAGGAGATAATTTTTAATGATAACTTATAAAGTTTTAAAAGACAGGCCTACTATGAGCTATGAGGTTGTTAATCGACGGTATATGCTTTTGTTGAAGCCATCACCTTACATTATTTTCAACTTATTTTTTAAATAATCAACTTGTATTTCAATTCCACTTTTTAAATAAGTGAAATTCCATGTGAAAAAATTGCATTACCTATGATTCTGTTTGGTTTTGATTAAACTCTTCAGCTCTGCCCACTCCCATGAAGAACTACACGAAATGGTTATGTAATAAACAAAATGTTTCTAAATGCACAATTTTTATTTAACATTTAAATCAGCAGTTTTATGTGCATTTAGTTTGATTAAGCAATGCTTGCCATAGTCTATTTTTGTCACACTTAAAGAATGCAGAATCGAATCGTTAATTGAATTGCATCGAATTTAACTGTGAATCGCCTCGAATTTGCAAAAATCGTTCTTGAATCAAATCGAAACCCTATGAATCGTGAATTAAATCGTTTTTTACTTCAAATCGCTGTTTACCCAAAGATTCACAGCCCTAATTATACATAAAAAATCTGAATGAGGAAAAAGCTTCCGGAACCATGTATTAAACAGTGCTAAAAACCAAAGATACCAAACTGAGAAGGGCCAACGATAAAATCAGAGCAAACTAATCAAAACCTGTTGATGAACCATTAATCTGATTACTGGGGAACCTGTCGCCACTGTGACAATATCACAACAAGTTCCAAACAAATTCAATTTGTTCAAATGGCTGATTCATTCTGGAGTAAACTGACTGTTGTTATGAACAGATCACTGAATCATTGATTCGTTCAAAAATTCTGATTCATTCCATATCGAAGCTTTGTTTAGAACTATTTTCGTTGGTGAAATAGAGCAAAAACAACTTGCGATATTAGAAAATCAATATTACATTGCAATCGTGCTGATATTTGGGAAAAACACCACTCTTGCTCATGTGATGTTTAACTATATTATATATAATAAATGAGACAAAAACTCACACAGAGGCATTTTTGCCTCCATATAGAGACTAGTCTCACACCCCTAATTCAATTTATTAACCTCCGGTTTCACAGACAAGGCTCAGACTAAAATGTAATTCTGAGCTGTTTCAACTGAAAGAAACTTGCACTGATCGATCTTAAAATATATCAATGCATTTGTTTTGTCTCAAGATGGAAACCAGTAATGTTTTTTTTTTCTAAGGCACTTTTATAAAAATTACTTAAATGTCCTAACTGAACTATGGCTTGATCCTGGCTTAGTGAAACCAGGCTTAAATGTCACCGAGTTGATTAAAGTCGATCAAATTAATCTCAACTCATGCATATGCTTTTCTACTAATTGCCCACCAGGCTTTTAACTAGCTTCACCAGAGAGACTTCTCAAAAACCATTTTGCTGGTGGTGTGAATAATTCTTCAGGAAATGCAGGCCTGGAAACTCGAGATGCTCTGAACTGGACCAGTTTCTGCCATCATGTTTTAGACTCTTACATGTTTTTCTGTGTGTAAATGCTGCTGTTGGCTGCCAGTTTATTGGCCTCGGAGAGTTCAGCGATCCGCTGCTCCAGACTCTTCATCTTGTTGTTCATGGCTTTGACGGTCTGTAGAGAAAAACACATCAAATCTACATCAAGATCAAATTTACACATACAGTAAATGTCAGGAGAGTTTGAGAAACACACTATTTGTTGCTGCTAGTGTTGCAAATTACAAACTTGACTTTTAATAACAGGACTTCATAAGAGCCAGGAGCTGAGTTTTAATAAAAACCCAAATTAAATCAGAATAACTTTATGGATGCCAGTGATAAACTCGCCATAACGCAGACTTTTTAATTTGCTGGCCTGAGCTACACCAGTGTTTACTTAAGCATGTAAATATTGGAAATGCATCATATTATTAAACAACCCTGCGGTTTCATACACTGAGCATGTGAGTCTGCGATCAGGGCGGTAATCTAGTTAGCTAAAGTCTAACTGGTTAACTGGATCAAGGGCTAAAAGGCTAGAAAATGATAAGAGTGAATCTCGCAAAACTTTCTCAGGTCTAATGTCACCACAAAATCAAATAATGAAAAATTATCATAATGATAAAATCAGGTCAAATCAACTTGAATGCATTATTTATTTAATATACTTTTTTCTTTTTAGATCTGCATGTTTAAAACATGATGTACAAATACCTAAACTGATTTTGCATATTAAGAATGAGATTTGTTTTGTCATACTTGCTGTTGTTATTTTTTTCCTTTACTATGTGTCTGGTCATGTTTGATTGTTGTGGTGCTGTAATGTGTTAAAGTTAATAAAAAATATTTAAAAAGAGATTGATCAGCATATCAAACATCACTTGAAATTAATAATAAATATTTTTCAATAAAATAAGCTTTTCATAATTGGAAAAAAAGTGAGTGAGAGAGACTTGTTAAATGTCTGGAAAATAATGTCATATCTAAAAATATGGTCAAATAATAGCTTTATTTTCATGTTTTATGCAAACTATAATTCCTTATTTTTTCTCTTTTGCTTTCGAGGTGAAATATGATATAGACATGTTCCTGAGAGGTTACATTTTATATTCATACAAATATAATCCCAAACAATACCCATTTAACACCCATAAAGTTTTGGTCTTGGATTGGATTTTAGTAGCTCAGAAATTCTGCTGGATGAACTAGTCAGTGTGTCTCCAGCAAACACAACTAAACACCGAGATCCTCACACACACACACTTCTGTCAGGAGTCAGAGTTTAATGTGAGATGAAGACGAGACACTCACAGCTTTCTGCTCACTGATGAGTTTGCATTTCTCACGCGCCTCTTCCTCGTGCTGAGCTCGTTTCTGCTCCAGACAGTCTTTATCTGCCAGATCTGCCTTCATCTGAGCCTCCAGAACCTGCAGCACACGCACACACACACACACGCGCACACAGACACGCGCACACAGACACACGCACACAGACACACGCACACAGACACAGACAGACACGCGCACACACACAGACAGACACGCGCGCACACACACACACACACACACACACACACACACAGACACAGACACAC